ACAAGTGGAAGAACATACCGTGTTCATGGATTGGTAGACTCAACATCATTAAAATGTCCATACTACCCAAAGCAATCTATAAATTCAACGCAATCCCCATTAAAATACCAACGGCATACTTCAAAGACCTAGAACAAACTCTCCCAAAATTCATCTGAAATAAAAAGACCCCAAATAGATGCAGCAATCTTGAGTAAGAAGAACAGAGCTGGAGGGATCACAATACCAGCTATCAAGCTATATTACAAAGCCATGGTTCTCAAAACTGCCTGGTACTGGCACAAGAACAGACATATAGACCAATGGAACAGAATGGAGAACCCAGAAAATGACCCAAGCCAATACACACAACTAATATTTGACAAAGTAGGCAAGAGCATGCAATGGAGTCAAAACATTGTCTTCAATAAATGGTGTTGGGAAAATTTGACAGATACATGCAAAAAAAAAAATGAAACTAGACCACCAACTTACACCATACACAAAAATAAACTCAAAATGGCTAAAGGACTTAAACGTAAGATGGGAAACCATAAAAATCCTAGAAGAAATCACAGGCAGCAAAATAGCAGACATTTTTTGTAGGAATATCTTTACCAATACAATTCCTAGAGCAATGGAAACTAAGGAGAAAATAAACAAATGGGACTACCTCAAAATAAAAAGTTTCTTCCCAGCAAAAGAAACCATGAACAAAACAACAAGAAAGCCTACTGCATGGGAGAACATATTTGCAAATGTTATCACTGATAAAGATTTAATCTCCAACATTTACAGGAAACTCATACAACCTAACAAAAGGAAGATAAACAATCTAATCAAAAAATGGGCAAAGGACCTAAATAGACACTTTTCAAAAGAGGACATAGAGAAGGCCAAGAGACATATGAAAACATGCTCAAAGACACTAATCATTTGAGAGATGCAAATCAAAACAACAATGAGGTACCATCTCACACCTGTAAGAATGGCTATTATCAACAAATCAACAAAGGAGAAGTGCTGGAGAGGATGTGGAGAAAAGGAACCCTCTTTCACTGCTGGTGGGAATGCGGACTGGTGCAGTCACTGTAGAAAACATTTCCTCAAAAAATTAAAAATGGAACTTCCATTTGACCCAGTAATACCACTTCTAGGAATATATCCCAAGAAAACAGAAAAACCAATCAGAAAGGATATATCCACCCTTATGCTCATAACAGTATCATTTACAAAAGCTAAAATTTGGAAACAGCCTAAGTGCCCATCAGCAGATGAGTGGATTAGAAAACTGTGGTACATCTACACAATGGAATGCTACACTGCTATAGGAAATAAGGAATTCTTACCATTTGCAACAGCATGGATGGACCTGGAGAGCATTGTGCTAAGGAAAATAAGCCAGTCAGAGAAAGATAAATACCACATGATCTCACTCAGATGTGGGATATAATGAACATGAACTGATGAACAAAAATAGAACCAGAGACATGGAAGCATGGAACATACTGTACAACCTATGAGGAAAGATAGGGGGTGTAGCCAATGGACACAGACTGGGGGGTGGGGTGGGGGCAAGGAAGTCAGTGTTGGGGGGAAAGGAGACTTATGTAATACTTTAAACAATAAAGAATTTAAATAAAAATAAATAAAATTTAAAAAAGAAAGTCCTTTCTTCTTGATGATTCTGAGACAGCATTTGAGTAAGACAGGAGCTGAGCTTCAGCCCAGGAGGAGAGGGATAGCATAGGGAATTCAGAGTTTGAGTTTCAGTCTGAGTAACAGAAAATCACTGAAATGTCTGATGGCCTATTAGTGATCAGGGTATCTTTACTCTATCAGGATGTTGGGAACCTCAGATAATTTTAAGTCCAGTTTATAGGAAATTTTTAAAAAGCTACAATTTTATAAACTTGAGTCTGTGCCTATGAAATTCATTGTGTATGAACCATAATTGCTAGAATACACAAAGGCATTTATTGTCTTCTTTATTGACAGGTATATTGATAAACGCCCCTCCATTATCTGATTTGATTGTCCATGTGAGGCAGGTAAGGCAGGTATTATAGTTCCCATTTTACAGATGATGAAACTGAGGCTTGGAAAGATAAAGGACTATTGCCAAAGTCACAGGATTTGTGAGTGGCCATACAAAACTACACCCAAGACTTAGGACTTCACTTTCAGTCCTTCCTCTATACCAGAACTTCTTCCAAGGATAGGCACAGAAGTTCTTGCCATTCCCTTCAGAGTCTGTTTTAGTGCATATCTTCCAGGTTATATAAACCAAATTATATAATCTAATAAATCCTTTGGCTTAATGTGCTACCAGTTCCTCTTATTAATTGTAGTGAAATAGGATGTTCCTGCATACCTGCATGCACACTTTTGGGAGGGGACAATTCAAAAATAATTTTGAATCATTGGCTTTTCAGCATTTGTCAAAATTCTGGATAATGTAGCAGCAAAAAGCATCAATTCACTGTATAAGTCTGAGCAAGTTTCCTCCCTTCCCCTTGTAAAATGAGGATAACATCTATTTTGTAGGGAGGCTAAGAAATTTAAACGGGGCCATTTGTATAAAGCACCCAGCCCTCTGATCTTCCTGTTGTAAGTGCACAACACAAGGTGGGTACCATCACCAACACAAGCAGAACCCCAGGCAAACTGGGAGAGATAGGTACCAAAGCAGGGGTTGGGAGAATTAACTGGCTAGGTATAATGGAGAGTTTTACCTCAAAAAAGAGATTGTTCTGGAAAAATCTGTTATTGTCTCCTAAGAAAGTTATCAGTGAGGACTGGGAACTCTATATCCTTAGAGTTACCCTTTTCAAGTAGTGGTTACAAGTCTGCTTACACAGTGAATCCACCAGGTCAGAGAGCACAGGGATACCCACCAAGAAATAAAGAACCTGGATACTGACAGCCAGGTCAGTGAGTTTGGAAAATAGTTTGAGTAAAGCAAAGAGTGACCTTCCGAGGAGATACAGAGAAATGGGTCACTTTCAGAACTTCAGTTAAGATTTCATCCTTGTCACATTCTGGTTCATGGCAGAGACACAACAAATAATTGTTGACGCAACCAGTGAATTATAAGGACACTTCACACTGACCATCAGCAGATAAAACCTTGATTAGGTTCACAAGTAGAATGGAAGACTGGGCCAGCTCTGCCAATTTTCTTTAGCTAAATGGAACCATGCCCCGAGAAAGAATTGACTTAGAAAAATGTAAACTATTACAATGCTTTTTATGTTGCAACTTTTCAGGTGAATTAAGTCTACCAGCTATCATGATTTCAATATCGGAGTTTGGATGGTGTGGGGCCAAATGCATGATAGTGCCCTGCTATAAAAATATCCTTTGCAGAATAAATTAGCTTTTTGGATCAAATGTTTTGCTGTCAATTTACATTTGTGCTTCTACAGGTCTTTGAATGTTAAGCATCTTTTGCTGTGGAAGGAAAAGTGTGCCTGCTAAAGGGCTTTCTGATATCAGGGAGCTGGTTGGGAAGGTTTTTGTAAGGAGCAAGGAATGCTGTGGAGTTTGGGAGGATGAGCTATAGTTGTCTACTATACCCCTATTACAGCTGGGGCTGGTCAGCACCCCTGTGATATTCTCTAGGTCCTAGCAGCCCTATATAGTACCCATGGATCTTTCTATCACCAGCTTTGGTTGGAGAAGACAATGCATCTGCCTTTGAACTGGTTAGCAGGATAAGAATAACCAAGTAGAATATAATCAGAAGGTGCTGATTCCTCTATATCAGGCTCAGAATTTCTGAGTGTCCTTAGCAGAGCATGGTGACTGTCTTATGATCTGCTCAGTACTGTTCACCCTTCAGCCCAGGGACCACACTTTGAGAACAAGCGCCCTAATAGACTCTATACCTGACTCTTTTCCAATAGCTTTTGAGGGAGGGCCAGACAGCTGTAAGTCCTTTCCCTGCACCTGTAGAAGTGATGGGGAGGATAATGTAAAGGAGGATGGCTCACAAGCTTGCTCCACCCCTCTCTCTTTCCCATAGAAGCTCCTGAGTTACCCCTGACAGAGGAGACCCTGGGCTGTGTGGACCTTTGGTCTTCCCTGCAAGCATCTCAGATAATTTTCAGGTCTGTCCTTGCCCAAAAGCAGTCATGACTGCAGCATCCCCAGAGTGCTTTCATGTTTCAAGTCTTGATCCCCAATGCCCCTTTCCACCCTCCTCTCACCCAAATCGCCTTTCCCTTCTCAGATCCCTGATCTCTGCCTTTCCCTGTCTGCTGCCAGTTGCTTCCTGGAGCCCTGGTACAGGATGGATGGGCCTTCATAATAACCCTCGTAGGGAGCTGTGGGGCCACGGCCTCCCCTTTGAGGCTGGTGTGCCTTTGATTTCTTGACAGATTAGCAGCACACAGAAGCAAAACCCGTGTAAAAAGCTGAAGTGAAACGCCCAGCTCTCTACATGACATATGCCTGTACTACACTGTGACTGGCAGGTAAGGGGGAAAGCTATTTGCAGTGCCCAGCAAGCTAGATGCTTGTTCTGAAGAGCCAGCACAGCCTAAAAATACCACAAAGGGTAGGAGGGAGAGAAAGGAAACTTTAGCATGGAATAATATCAAAAATTAAAAATAGAAAGGCTTTTGGTAAATGAGAGTCACCAGTTGCTGTTTTGCTCACCACCTGCAGGGCTTTTAGGATTCCCAGAAGACAGCCAGTAGCAGGCATGACAGAAAACAGTGAAATTATTTCTGGGAATGGAGTCAGGCTACCAATAGATGGAAGGCGGAAGCAAGTGTAGACAGACGAAAGTGTCATGTAGTGGGCTGAACTGATTGAGATTGACAATAACCCAGCCTGGCAATTAATGAGATGCAATAGATGTGGGGTTTGCCTCCAATTTGATGAACCACTTTGTCAGGCTTATTTAACCTTGGTCTCAAATCAGTGAGATTGTAGAGTTTGCATCCTCCTCCTTCCCCAAATCTCCTATCCCCTCCCCCAGCCTACCACCATAGCCTCTTCATTTATTTTAAGCTCTGGAAGATAAATGATTTGGTTGAGCTTCATTCTTATTGTCTTTCTTAGAAAATGTCTGGATTAGCCAGGTAAATAAATGTCCTCCCCATGAATGAGTTGCCCTAATCAAGGAACTCATATTGAATAAACCTGGCCCAGCACTGGCAAGATCTTTGGGAGAGGAAAGCTGTGGGCTGTTAGCAGAGTTCAGAAGGTTTACCTTATACCTCTGTCCAGAATTATGCAGAGGAGGAAACTGATTTATTTTCCTGTTCTCCTATAACAGATGTAGTACACAGGACCCTCAATAAATATTTGCTGATTTTCAAATAAATGAGTGATGGGCTGGGCTGGCATTCATTTAAAACTGTGGGATTTAGTATCAAAGCTGTTGTACTTGACTGGAGTTCTTTTAGTGAGGGGTGTGATGAACCTTAGGGTTCTCTAAGAACTGGTTGGTTATCAACCCAATAGTGCCATGTCACCCCCCACCCTCAACCCCCGACAACTGCATGCCAGGAGTCAGGGCCAGTTTTATCCAGAGAGACATGTGTCTGGGCCACTGTGTTAGCAATGCCACGTACCTGAGCATGACCTTAAGCTAACCCTAGAGTCAAGCCCCATTCTACTCAGCCATGAGAGCTGTTATCAAGTCTGTATGCCTTTAAAAACCCCTCCTCCCATAGGTGAATTGGGTTGGGTTGCTAAGTATTATAGGTTGCTGAATTTCCATGGCACACTGAGAATTTCAGAAGACTCTATAGTATAGATATTCTTATTGTAAAATATATCACATAAGGTGCATCAGAAACCACTAGGAGTATACAGAGGTATTTAGATAAACAGATTCCAGATAATCTGGGCAAAAAAAGACTCTTGGGAAGATGACCTTGGAGATGATAAAAGACTTGGGAGAAATTCTAGTGTCCTTTGAACAGCTTTGTTGATGGGGATTCAGAAAGATATCTTGGGTATAGGTTTTTATTTTATTGATTGATTGATTGATTGGTTATCTAAAGTTTATCATTATATTCCCCAAATGAGCAGGATCATGTGATACTTATCTTTCTCTGGCTTATTTTGCTTAGCATAATGCTCTCCAGGTCCATCCATACTGTTGCAAATGGTAAGAGATCCTTTTTTTACAGCAGCATAGTATTCCATTGAGTAGATGTACCACAGGTTTTTAATCTACTTGTCTTCTGATGTATGCTTTGCATGGTGCCAAGTACTTTATATACATGAGCATATCTGATTCTTAAAATGTACTTTTGAGGTGGGTAGTGAAAGCTAGATTTGTTTCCAGATCTTAGCTATTGTAAATTGTGCTTCTATCAACATAGGGATGCATATGTCCTTTCTGCTTGGTTTTTCTGGTTTCTTGGGATATATTCCTAGAAGTGGGATCACTGGGTAAAATGGGACTTCCATTTTTAATTTTTGAGGAAATGTCATACTGTTCTCCACAGTGGCTGCACCAGTCTGCATTCCCACCAGCAGTACATGAGGGTTCGTTTTTCTCCACATCCTCTCCAGCACTTGTCTGTTTGTTGATTTGTTGAAGATAACCATCTGACAGGTGTGAGATGGTATCTCATTATTGTTTTGATTTGCATCTCTAAGATGATTAGTGACTTTGAGCACGTTTTCATATGTCTCTGGCTTGTGTATAGGTTTTTTAAAGCTATACCTAAGACTAGGAAGCATATAATTCAATATATTTAATAGCTAAGGTTTAGAGAAGTTACGTGACTTTCTCAGAGGTCATCAATAGTTTCAGGCCTCAGTGTTAAAATTAGCAATATGGGCTTAAAATGGAAGATAATTTTATAGGTTTTTCCATGGTACCACATTGCAGTTCCTTTTTATAACTGGGTATTCATGATTTCAAAAGCAGCAATGGGAGGAAGATTAGGGAAGAGAATGTTATTGAGCATTTCTTTTGTATGCTTTGCATGGTGCCAAGTATTTTATATACATGAGCATATCTAATTCTTAAAATGTACTTTTGAGGTGGGTAGTGAAAGCTAGATTTTTTAAGTAAAGGAAACCAAGATTCAAAGAGATGGCTAAACCAGCACACTGATTTTTGGCATATAGACTAAAGACCATACTTAGTCTACATTACCACACATCAGATGCCAACCAGATTAGCTCAGAGTCCTAATTTGCTCTGGTCAACTGCCAAAATACAAGGTCACACTAAGTTATGAGAAGGGAGGTGTCACCATGGACTTGATACATGATAGAAGAGTGCACATTCCTTTTTTGATGACCAGTGAAGCCATAGCAAAATTATAAAAGTTACTATAATAGAAAATAGAAAAGTTACTCTAGTAAAGAATTACAAATTATAAAAACCTAACACATGGAAAAGTATTTGCCTCATCCTAAGTCCTTAGGTGCTGCTTCCATCCTTCTTAAATTTATCTGTTGAATGAGGACTATTTTCTTCAATATTAAAAGGGATCCTATAATATTTACAGAAAGGCTGAATGACAAAAAAACTTTTTTTTTTTAAATCTCAGAGTGAAAAACAAGGACCAATAGGTGGAAATTAAAAGATGGAAGCTTTGCCCTCACCGGTTTGGCTCAATGGATAGAGCATGGGCCTGTGGACTGAACATATATATTAAAAGATGTCAGCTTCAAGCTAACAGGAAGAACTTTTAGGCAAATGGGTCTGTGTGACTATGAGATGGATTGCTTCAGAATGAGCTAAGTTCTCTCCCTTGGACATGCTTAAGCAGAAGTTTGAAAATACTTTGGGGATTTGCCATAGGACAAATATTAGATTGGATGATCTCCAAGGGCCTTTAAGGATCTAGGATCTAAGAGTGCATGACATGTGACACCAACAGTGCGAGGATCAGTAGCTAACTGGACCCACTGACTTTTCTAACCTGTCATTGTGCAAACCTCTGCTTAGTTTGCTCATCATCACCATCAATACTAATCACTGATCAAAGCTGTACTGAACCTTAATCTATTTTCAATTAGAAACAGATTTTGCTCTTATCTGAGCCAACTCTGCTCTACTATTCAGTGCCAATTTGGGGGATGGGGCCCAAGTCAAATGAGTATGTATGATTCTGCTTGAGTCATGGAAGATTTAAAGGGAAGAGTAGATGGAAGCCACAAGGAGGCAGGACTATCCAAATCCTTTGGAGGAAGTAGCTTCTTCTTACAGAAGGTGGCCTCATTCAGGTCAGCTATGATTAGAGCCAGGGTAGGAGTCAGATATTATTTAGGAGACCAGATCATTGCCTCTTTAAGGTCCCTTCTAATCAAAGAATCTTTGGGATTTTTGTTTGTTTTGTTAATCCTTACCCAAAAAATATTTTTTCCCATTGAGTTTTAGAGAGAGTGGAGTGGGACAGACCTAGAGAAATATCGATGTGAGAGAAACACATCAATTGGTTGTCTCCCACAAGTGCTCCTACCCAGGGCTAGTATCCAGCCTGCAACAGAGGTATGTGCCCTTGACCTGGAATCAAACCTGAGACCCTGTGGTCCACTGACTGATGCTCTAACCACTGATCAACCAACTAAAGCAATCTCTGGTTTTTAATGAAGAACCATTTAGGAACCACTAATTATGAAAGATAATATGACATTATTTTTAAAATATATTTTTATTGATTTCAGAGAGGTAGGGAGAGGGAGAGAAAGATAGAAACATCAATGATGAGAGAGAATCATGGATCAGCTGCCTCCTGCATGCCCCACACTAGGGATGGAGCCTGCAACCCAGGCATGTGCCCTGACCAGGAATCGAACCACGACCTCCTGATTCATAGGTCAATGCTCAACCACTGAGCCACGCTGACCAGCCAATCTGACATTATTATATAGATTTTAAAATGTTCTGAATCAAATTTTGGTGCATAGACCTGGGTTTTACTTCCAGATCCATCACTAATTAACTGTGTGTAATCCATGTGTTTTTTTTAATCTTTGGGGGATTCAGTAGTCTCATGAATAAAAGGGTAGGCCTTTCATTTATTCATTCAATGCCTACCATGTGTAAGGCACTGTGCTAGGTGTGTGGGGAACAGATAAATCAGGCTCTCCTGGAGTTGAAAGACTCAACTGAGATGCTACATGTAAAGTTGCATCATGAAGAGAAAGAGCTGCAGAAACATAAGAGTTTAAGACATGACAGTTATTTGACAATTCAGTGCAATAGGTAATTCTTTACTACAGGAAATTAATATTTTTGCTAAAATATTATTCTCAGTCTTCTATATATGAAAACATTTGCATCTAATTGGAAAATTTACTCTGTACTGAGATTTTTCAAGTTCAAAAGCACCTTTATATGTCAATGTGCTATGAGTTGAAACAGATTTAGCATATAGTTAATAAGTTGGATATAATACAGTTGTTCAATTCTTGGAAACCAAATGTGTTTTGTGACTGGTTACTTTTCTATGTGGAGGGAAGCCTTGGAGTAAAGAAGCAGAGACTTTGTTGG